CTCTTCCGAGAAGCTTCTCCTGATGGCCAACTGGATGGGGGGTGGGGGCTCCCACTGAATTCTTGACAAACCCTTTCTAAGATATGGCACCTACTCAATGTCCTCTTATTTATAGGAGTATTGTCTTTAGGAAAAATTCTTTTGTCTGCAAGCAGTTGAAATTGATCCTTAAGGATTGATCCCCCCAAATGATGCTGGAGTTTCTTTGTGTGTGTATGTGGGAAGGAGGAGAGTCAGAATAACTGTTATCCATGTGGCTGTGAGTCACATGACCCATGCCTAGAAACTGATCTCCACATGGCTAGGTTTAAAACGTCACAATTTGGGGAGAGGGAGTTGGATTAGTGCAGCTTGGCTCAGGAGCCACGCCAGGACCACCCGTGAGGCAGTTTCACACAGCACAGATCTGGCCACTGGAGGACACCCCAAGATTGAGGGGAGTCTCTCCAAAACAAAGGGGCAGAGAAGTGATCTAGGGAGCCAGTAGTTAGTGCAGCTTGTCTTTGCTATTCATCAAAAACGAAGAAGGGAGCCCCCTGTAAAATGATTAAAAAAAAAAAAACACTAAGAAGGGATTCTGGAAAGAGAGAAACAACAGATGTCTACTCCCAAGTGTTTGTGCAGTAAATGAGTGAATGACCGAGAGACTACTGCATTTTCATCTCTTAACATCCGCTAAGTATGTGTGGCTCTCAGTTCTCTATCTCTCAAACACAGTGCTCACATGTTCCCATCCTGTTTATCCCTTTACTCAGTGTGTTTGTCTTGGGCACCTTCCAGTTAGCCAGAATGGGGGAAGTATGTCATGTCTCCTGCATGCCTAAAACTCAGTCATCCATTAATTTGGCATATGTTTATTGAATATGTACTATTGAGTGGTTGATAAATGTGAGGCGATGAAAATAGACGGATACAAGGGCACATGCTCCACAGGACTTGGCTAATGCAGTCACACAAATCGCAGCAACATGTGATTAGCACTCCCATGCAGGATGCTCAGAGAGGCACAAGGGCTGGGGGAGGAGCTGATGATGACGCCGTCTTGGAGGAAGCCCATCGTCTGCTTGTCAGTTTATTGTACTGACGAGGCTCAGAAATGATGCCACTGGTCTTGCAAATACCCATAGGGTCATTCATGATGAATGGAGAATCAGTGGAGATTCCAGAGGAAAACAGACTAGGAAGAAAGGCCCGGTGATCCATTTCTGAACATTAGCCAATGAAGACATTCTACATCATAAAACAACATTGTCTGAACCTATTCAGGCACTTCATTTGGAGGAGAACATCATGCTTGTTGAAGTAGAGGGCCAGGGGGTGGGATATACTCTCTGTGAGATGATATCATGGATGGAAATTTACTCCCCCCAAATATGTGTTATCTTGGCTAGTCCTTGATTCTTAGTGGTTTGGTAGTTTTGTAATGATGCAATTTGGTATTTATGTAACGATGCGACCATCCCCCATAATGTGATTTTCTTTGATTGGCCCATCAGTTGCATAGGGATTAAGGTAGGAGGATTTTCTCAGGTCATAGCCCTGGCTCCACGTTTCCCTGGGATGTGGCCTGTGTAATCTTTTATCTTATAAGAGAGAAAAGCAGAAAGCTGGGAGTAAAAAGTATCCTTTGAATTGGGGGTTGTGTGCTGAGAACCCCCTAGACCCAAGGGGAGATTGATGCTAAGACACATGGGGATTTTCAAAGAATACCCAGCTCACAGATGCTGACAAAAGCCTGTCCCCAGAGCTGGCAGAGGAGTGCAGTCTTCCCCTAGTGCTTGCTGGTGCTCTGAATTTGACCTCCAAGCCTCCCAAACTATGAGAGAGAAAAAATTTCTATGTGCTAAATCCATCCGCACGTGGAGTTTATGTTACAGCAATGCTAGACATCTAAGATAGATGGATTGGCACAATCGCCACAACTGGAACATGTCCGTTTTTGTGAGGATGCTACAGGATGACACAACAATTTGTTCAGTTGTCCATAAGGTGGCCATCAGGTGGTGAACTTCAGTCTGAGAGTGAACCATGGGGATGCTGAATACGCATGGTATGTTTGGGAAATAGGGTGGCTGAGTGTGCCTGTGGTGTAGGGAGTGTGTTGTGGCGGGGTCATTACAATGAGGGAAAGATGTGAAAGGAAGGCATGTGGGAAGAGCATCATGGGTCAGATCATGGGGTCCTTGCTTCCCATCCTCAGAAGTTTGACTGACGGGAGGGGAAATGAACCAGGGGAGAAGGGCAACTGAAGTATTCAAACAGAAGAGCAACATGAGGCAACATCTGGGTAAACAGCTCGTGTACACTGTTGGAGTAATGGCAAGCCTGGCAATGGCATGAGTGCCACTACAGAGAGAGCTGTTGACTCGCAGCTCTTTGCCTAGGCAGCTATACATTGGATTTAGGTACTGATTTGTATACACATATTAAGAGAATATGGATAATGATGCTTATTGTTGTATTGAACTTATCGTGACTAAGAACTGGAAACAAAGCCAGAGCCTATCATGGGGAAAGGGTTTCATACTGCGCTAGATATCCACACATGGAAGATTTTTCAGGAATTGTAAAGAATGTTTTAGAACTCTACTGGATGACTTGGAGGGATTTTCACGTTGAATGAGAAAATGAAAATGCAGCAAAGTAGCTTTGGGCCACTTTGATAAGTCAAGTTGATGTGATTGGATGATAGTCTATGGACGAATGTATGAAGATGAAGACATATAAGGAATGGCACTCAATAGGTTACTAGGAGCCCACCAGAGCACAAGGAGCAAAGGTGAAGGGAGAGGTCAAAGGGTAGAGATGCATACATTGTCTGTTACCGAGGAGCATTTGTGATACAAGGAGGCTTCAAAACATTCATAGAAAATTCCATTATCTTTTCATTCCATTGTTCCATGAACAATTTGAAGCCCTTTGTATGATCTTCCTGATGTAAAGTTAAAAACAAGTGTGTGTCCATGAGTTTGGAAAGTTAGAATGGGCAGCAGGGGCTGTGATTTTAGGTGACTGTGTGTATACATATGTGTGTTTAATATGGACCTGTGTATACATATATTACGGTGGGGAATATGTGTGTGTGTGTGTGCTCGAATTCCTTATGAAATATAGCCACTTTCTAGAAGCAAGGAGAAAAAGGTCATTAGTGAGTTTTTCCTTTCAATGATTCAAAATATTATATCCTATAAGAAATCACACATCCAGCTTTGGTACTTGTATATTATAAGCCTGGCCTTTGAAAATTACATTAGAAAAACTTACAATCAAACAGTTACATCTTTCAGGAAACCCTGCCTTTTGTCCTTAAAACCCACTAAAATGAAGAGGCGAATCTATCATGGGAATTGGAGCAGACCTTTGTAACATCCCTTCCCCTGGATGCCTTGTCCCCTCCTTGGTTTGCCATAATCACGCAGAATCAGAACTAAGCCCTTACTGTGGTCTACACAGACTTATAAGAGCTGGCCCCCTAACTGCTCTAACTTCCTTTCCTACATCCCTCGAGGCGCCAGGCTCACTATTCTGGAATGCTGCTGTTCCTCATGTATCTGAGGGACTCTCCTGCCCCCAAGCCTTTGCGTTTGCTGCATTCGATTGCTCTGGAACAATGTGCACCGGTATTCCCATGACACCCTCTCTTGTGTCCTTCGAGTCTCTGCTCACAATGCCCCTTCTCAGGAACCATCTCGGGTCCACGTACTGTAAATTGCGACACCACCCAATACTCTCTCCAGCCTCCCTGTCCTTTCCTCTTCTTTTCTTCTTCCCACTTCCCACTTCCCCGACATATCATACACTTTGCTTATTTATTTTGGAAATTACTTTGAAAACTGGCTCTTTCACTGGAAAGTAACCTTTAGAAGGGCAGAGCTTTTTTTATCTATTTGTTTGTTGCTGCAGCTCAGAGGTTAGGCCAGCACTTGGCACATAGTAGGTGTGGAATATACATTTGTAGAATGGAAAAAGTGGTGAAAGAGGGAGAATGGCTTAGAGGCAGGTATGGTCAGCCACAGAAAGACCAGTGAGAAGGCTGTTGGGCTGAGCCCAGCGGAAGGCAAAGGGCCCTGAGGTTGGCCTCTCGTGATGACCTGCACATTGGGCTAGTTCTGGTGGAATTTTGAGGGCATCCTGGCATCTGTAACTGTTTCGTTCACTTCTTGTTAGTTGGTCTTGATTGGTTAAAGACGATTGCAGGCTTGACATCTTCACCCCTACTTCTCCCAAAGTGATTGGCATGGAGATGGCACTCACTCCAAAGCTCTCAACACGTGTTCAGTGATCGGATGCTGCTGAATTCCATTGCCTGGGTGCATCGTAGGGTGAATGTTCTTCGACTAGGACCCTAGACTCATGCTGCTGTATGAAAATGGATTAGTGTTTCTTCATTGCTAAAGTCATAGACATGCTCACTAAAGAACACTTGGAAAATAGAAGAAAGTTGACAACAGAATGAAAAAGCCTTTAGTTCTGCCACCCATAAAGAACTGTTAACATTTTCATGGTTTTTCCTTTAAATATTATTTAGGAATATTTATTCCCAATAGGATTATAATAATCTTGTGCGACATTATTGCACTTGCTTTTCCCTCTGTTTCTTTTCTTGTGGCACATATTTTTCTTGATTATGAACTTTTTGAAAGCATTCTTTTAAATAAATGCAACATGTTTAACCTTGTAGCTGTGTCAAGATCCACTTAACGATCTTATTATTATTTGATCATACACTATTTGTGCTTTCCCTGTACTTTAAGGTTATCTGGGACTCCATTAGACCTCATGGCTCATGGCTTATTTATCTGTTCATTTACCTGGGTCCCTGAAGCCTTCTGGGTCTCAGTCTTATATCTCTAAGCTCAGGATAATGAGAAATGATTCGGAGGGTTAAGGTGTGTGAAGCAGAGCTGCAGGGCCCAGTCCATAGTAGGTGCTTAGCAAATGTAAGAAGGCTTCAAATGGGAACACGTGTTAGCCATCCCTGCTCTCTCTTCTGGCTGCAGGCTGCACCTGATGCAGGTGGATTCGGTCCAGCGCTGGATGGAGGACCTGAAGCTGATGACAGAGTGCGAATGCATGTGTGTCCTGCAGGCGAAGCCCATCAGCCTGGAGGAGGATGTGCAGGGTGACCTCATCTTGGCAGGTGGCCCCAGCCCTGGGGACCCTCTGCAGCTGCTCCTCAAGCGGGGCTGGGTCATCAGCATGGAGCTGCGCCGGATCGGGCAGAAGCTGGCCCAAGACCGCTGGGCACGAGTGCACAGCATGAGTGTGCGCCTCACCTGCCATGCGCGCTCCATGGTCAGCGAGTACAAGGCTGTCAGCAGGAGCTCATCGCGGGAGATGGGCCAGGTCAGCGCCCTCGGGCGAGGGGGGGTGAGACTTTGGGAATCGGCGTGCCTTTGGCTGCTCTTTTACCACAGTGGGCAAAGGAGACGGGACAGACCTTTGTTGAGAACCTACTGTGTGCTAAGGAGTCTTTGGCAAGGGCAAATGGTTAACTTGTCTATTTGCTAACTGAAAAATGGAAGTTCAAATCCAGCCAGAGGTGCCTTGAAAAAATGAATTGGCAATCTAGTGAAAAATTACCTCTGAAAATTCAACGGCAACAGCTTACAATTTTACTCTCTCACACATGGGACCACCAGGAATCAGAGTCAACTCAACAGCATCTCTCTCTCTCTCTCAGTCTCGCTCTTGCTCTCGCTCTCTCTCTCCACCCCCTTCGGTTCACTATGCTCTAGGCAGGAGCCCTGGTAGTGTTGTGAGTTATGTGTTGAGCTGTTAACTTCTAGGTCAGCAGTTCAAAATCACCAACTGCTCTGCAGGAGAAGGACGAGACTTTGTGCTCCCGTAAAGAGTTACAGCTTTGGAAAACCACAGGGTCAGTTCAACTTGGTCCTGGAAGGCAGTGTTCTAGGCATTCTTGCGCACATCTCATTGAACCTGCACAGCCGGTGAGGCAGGCATCATCATTGGAAATCTGCCATGGCTACTAAGTACTCTGGCTTGCACGCCAGGCTGCCCGTTTTCAAATATCAGCTCTGCCATGGGACCTTGATATGTTTTCTGTGCTCCGGGTCCATTATCCTCATGGATATCATGCCCATTGCTAGCAAGTTGACTTCCATCCATAGCAGCCTCATAGGACAGAGTAGAAGCACCCCCACAGGGTTTTCAGGGCTACGATCTTTATGAAAGCAGATGGCCACATCTTCCACCTTCAGAGGGGCTGGTGAGCCCAGCCTTTGGATTAGCCTTAACTCCCACGCCACCACGACTTCTTGAGCATAATGATGGTGCGCGTTCAATACATTTGTCATGATAACCCCATGAGTTCGTACATCTAAAACCTCTGTAAAGGTTGAGTGAACAGAGTAGCCAGTATTCTTATCCTCATCTCATTTTTTAGGAGAGGTCATAGAGGCTCAGAGAGGTTTAGTCACGTGGCCCAAAGTTATTGCGTGGATGGTATTCACCCTCAGCCTTTTGCCGATTCCATGCTCCTGTCTAAGAGTCTTTTTCTCAAAGCCCGAAGTCTCCACGAACTATTTACATCCTCTTTCATAAATTCTTTTTCTTTGACATTCACTTTTATAAGACATTAAAAAGAATTGTGAAGGAAGTGGGGGGTTTTACATTTTAGATCATCAATTTTGTATTCAATGGTTTAAATCACTTATCAATCCCACTGCATCGCTTACCCCACCTCTCTCTTTTGATTTCTCTCCTGCATCTTGCCGCTGACTCTCCTCCCTTGCATCCAAGGTAGTCCCTGTCAAACCTCCTCCTCCTGTGCCTCCCATGCGTGGTAATAACTGCCAAAATGTCACACCTTTGGTGTGAGATTCTCACCATTAGTTCTTTACTCTTTGCCTGAGACTTTGCCACCCTCCACTTTGCAGACAGTACATTTCCACTCATTCTTTGAAGCCCAGCTCAAATGCCCCTTCTTCTCTGAACCTTCTCAAATCCCAGAAGAGAACTAATGATTCCTTTCATTTATTTCTTGTGTTTCCCAGACAGCTGACCACACTCTCTCTTGCCCCCATATGACACAGTCATAAATTGTGTGTTTGTTCCCCCTGGCAGATGACATGATTCTTCACCTTTATGGCCCAGAGTACCCCAGGGCACACAGGTCAGTAAAGGCTGATTGACTTGGATAAAATTGATGTGTGTTTCTACAGATTGAGAAGTTACTAATGGAGAAATGTTCAGAGCTGTCTGCGGTCACAGAGAGGTAAGTCCAAACCTCGGTCTGCCAGCCCATTTTCTGCCAGGGGAAGGATCTGTCTGTTCCCTTCTGTGCCATTGAGGTAATTCCAATGCATAGACTGGACTGCCCCAACTAAGGATAGACTGCCCCATAGGGTTTCCAAGGCAGTCCATGTTTATAGAATCAGGTTGATGCATTTTTCTCCCAAGGAGTGGCTGGTAGGTTTAAACTGCCTACTTTCCCACTAGCGGGTGAGCATCCAACCACTGGATGTGAGTGGGAATCGGGGGGTGGGGGCGTGGAGAGGGGGCGTGGGTGGCAGGTAGGTGGCCAGTTTCCTTTTGCTGACTTGCATCAGCAGCTCTCAATCCCTTTCTGGGATTTTCAGTGTCCATTTGTACTTCTAGGAATAAGGCAAAAGACAGAAGAGAAGCCTGGACATAGGAAAAAAGAGGGGAATTGATAACGATAAGGCTTCCTACAGCTTTGAAAAACAAACAAACAAACAAAACAAAAGTAGAAACAAAACAAAATTCACTGCCATCCAACCTAGTCCGACTCCAAAGTGACTCTATAGGGTCACATCAACGGTATCCAAGTTCTACCTATAGGAAGAGGGTAGAACTGCCCCAGTGGGTTTCTGAGACAGAAATAGAAAGCCTCATTTTTCTCCTTTGGAGTGGCTGGTAGTTTCAAACTGCTGACCTTGCAGTTAGCAACACAACAAGGAACCACTATACCACCAGGACGCACAGCTTTAGAAAGCGTCTCTTATTCTCAGAGTCAAGGCAAGGTCAAAGCAGAGACTCAATCCTTAAACACATACATGGACACAACTGCTTACCAACACTCACTTGCTCATATACAGACTATGAACACATCCTCGCAGGAGTACCCGCTCATGCACATGTCTCACATCTTAACATACATATACTTCCACTGAGACACACACACATGCTCACCAGCATATACAGACACACCCTGGTCTGTGATGTCCTCTCCTGACCTGTCCCGGCTCCCACATCCTGGAGGAAGTCTTGGAACTCCTCATCCCTGCGGGCTACCGTGGTGCTTGGCCTCCTGCCATGGACCATTCCCAGACTGTTTTCATGTCTGGGAATCAGGTGCTTGGGGCTGCCCTCCACTCATTGTAGACCAGCATTTTAAGGGTCTCAGGCATTGCCACATACCTGACCCTCCAGCACCTGGCACCCTTCCTTCCCATCCCCCATCGCCCCACCCCTAACATCTCTGAGAAGATGCAGCCTGGTGGCAGTAATGGCAGATTTCCTGAGAGAGAAGGTCAAAGCTAGGATTCAGCCACTAGCTGATAACCTTTCTACCCAGTGATATGGGCAGTCAGCCCTTGTCTCAGGGCCGGGAGACCATCTCTAGAATACTTTCTCTTCCCTGAAGTTGCTGTCTCCCCTCCCTACGCCAGTTTCATCATGCCCTAGAACTGGTACAGAACCAGGTTTGGCCGCTGAAAGGGTCTGGGTTGCCCAGTGCCCCATCTGGCCACTCCCCAATGGTTTCTGCTCCCCAGGTGCCTCCAGGTGGAGAACGAGCATGTCCTGAAGTCCATGAAGGCCTGCGTGAGTGAGACCTTGAGCACACTGGGCCAGCATTTTGGCCAGCTGCTGGAGCTGGCCCTGACCAGGGAGGTGCAGGTCAGTGCAGGGACAAGGGTGCATGTGTGGCCACTGGGGGTGGTGGACAGAGGGACAGAGGGGGTGGAGAGTTTGCTCTTGGATGTCATCCTCTTCAGCCACCAGTGCTGACCCTAGCCCTTGGTGAACTGGATGCTTCCAGAGCATCTAGCCCAACTCTGCATTTTCCAGATATGAGAACTGGGGCCCAGAATGGAAAGACTTCCATAAGGTCAGACAGCAAGGCTGTGGCAGGACCCAGGGTCTCCCAATGCTTTCTCTTCTGGGGTTGTTTCCACCACTGGCGAGCATCTCCTTTGAGTAATTGTTCTAGCCCACCACCACTGGTGCTGGCTAACCCGAAACCCTAAGGCACCTCTAGAGGATAAGCCAACTCGGAAACTCTTGGCAAGAGAGAAGTCTCTAGAAAGTTATATTGTCTAGTCCCTGCTTCTAGTCTGGCTTCTACTTGATTCCCAGGAAGAGTGAGGCTTTGGGGCCTTAGTTAACTACCTAGTACTGTCATGGCAAAATAGCACGAAGGCAGTGGCTTTCAAGAACAGAAATGTATCGTCTCATCGTCCTGGAGGCTGAAAGTCAAAACCACAGTCTTGGAGTGGTCGGTGCTTCCTATGGTTATACTCTCCTGGCTTCTGGAGACTATCAGCATCCTTGACCTTCCTTTGTGGCTGATAGATGCATCTGTGCCCATCCCCACCCAGCAGCACTCCTCTGTCCTCCCCTTTGTAAGACACCACTCAGCAGCGACTAGGTTTAGGACCCACCCTACTCTGAAACAACCTCATGTGCATCACCAAGGAGAAATCTCTTTTCATACAGGGTCATATGCATAGGTACAGGACTTAGGATTTCAGCATCACTTTTTTTTGAGACTGCAACTCCATTGACGACAGGGTCTAGCAGATCTATTTGAAATTGTGGTTCTCCTGGGACCTTAGCCCGGCTCCTCAACTTCTTGCACATCGTGTTCCTTGTCTAGAAAATGAAGAACTTGCCCCGCCAGAAGTGAGAGGACTAAACAAACTACATGTGGAGGGTGCTTGGCACATCATATGGGTTCAATACATGTTCTTTCCTTCCCTTGACCTTTTCTATTTTAAATGCCTCCCGGCAAAGCCGATGCCATACGGTTTTCATTAAGATAGGTCTTTGCCCGTTATTTATAGTTCCAGAAATATTGTGTTACATATTTGCCATTCTTTTCCCACCACAAATAGAAGCCTTCCACAAATAACAATTCACTTCCCATAACTCAAACTCTACTGAGCTTGTTTCTTCTCTTTCCTTAATGTCCGATCACTTGTCACAGGGAACAGGCCATTTCGGCCTGGCTCCCCTGCTGGCCCTGCCCTGGTCCATGATCCTTGGTTCCCCGAAGCCTGCACCCCATGTTAGTGTGACTGGCTCCACAAACTCTCATGTTCCCAGCCCTAGAAGGACTGGAAAAGGCACCTCTCCCTGTCTGGGGAGTCTGAGATGGGGGAAGAGATGGCCCAGGGCTCTACTTAATGCTGGTGAGAAAAGGCTGATCATCACGTCCCAGGTAGGTGGTGGCTCAGGCTGGGACACTGCCCTGAACAGGACCATCAAGTCCCAGAGAGCGCCCGTGAAGCAGGGGGCCAAAATCAGTGAAGACATTAAGGGAGCGATGAGCAAGGGATAGTGAAGTCAGTGGTGGGGCCTGGAGGAGTTTCTGAGTGTGGGCATTGGTACTAGCTGCTGCTTTTGCTCTCCGGTGTTGACTTGGCTGGAAATAGCAGGCTCAGTTAAAGGGGCACTCAACCCAGTCTGGTGTTTCCTCTTCTGATCTTGTTCTGAGCAGCATTTTTGGTTCCATTTCGTGGGTTACCTTGTGCCCATCCCCAGGGCTGGTCACCTGCCTACTTCACCTGGGCCTGGGAGCTGAGCTGAGCTACTTTCAATGCTGTATCTCTTCTGTTAGAATGTGGTCCCTGGTTGACCTCCCTCCCCTGTTAGGGGCAGCAGAGTTCTGTCCTATATTCCTCGGCATAGTTGGTATGTTCTGAATATTCCTGTCCCCGTACCGTCTCCCCTCTCTCCCAGAACGATGTCCTCGAAGCCCTGCTGTGGGGTGGGGGTGGGGGGTTGCCATGCTCTTGTCTGACCTTGAGCTTCCTTTTATATTAGGAAGAGTCCACACAGGGCAGGAGGGGGGGGAGGCGGCGCGGCATAAGAGGGAGATTGACTGGGTCATTGTGCTCAGTGCTGTGTGTTTCCTACAATGGTGCCTCTTCCAACTCCGTTCTTTAGCACACTAATCATTATACTAGGATCCTGTCTTTGGACTATCTTGACAAACGTGAAATGGAGTCAATGTCTTTGCGTGAAAACTTCTCCTAGGTGTGCCTATCTACATGGCAGACCTTCCAAATGCTCCTTCCATCCTCCTGATATTTGTTGTCTGACTGTGAGCTTCTATCAGGAAGGGGGTTGTGTTTCTTTTGTTCATAGACATGTCTCTGGTGCCTAGAATGGTACACAATGCCGAGCAGACACAGTCAAAATCCTCTGAATAAACAATAAGCAGTGATTTCCAAACGTACATGATCACCCATCTTCTTTAATTATTCAACCATCTACTCAGATGTTCTGGGATGCTGGTGTTTCAGGCAATGTCATTTGGGAAACGTTCTGTAATAGTCTGGGTACTTTGGAGAAACAAATTCACGGCCGACTCACGTATAAGAGAGTTTTATGCAAAGAAAATGTGCATCACGAAAACATCCCAACCCAATGCTGCCCAAGCTCACAAGTCCAACATTAACCCATTAACCCAACACCAGTCCACAAAGTCCTCCACCTCACAAAACAG